GGGAGCCAGGTGTGCGCAGTAAGGCCACGGAGAAATGGCCACCCCGCACTGGAGAATTCCCTGTGAAGTCAAAACATGACTGATTTGCCCAGACTTTTGATCCAGTTCCAATCTTGAAGAAGGGTGTTTAGACTTCAGCACTGCACGCCACCCTATACTAAGTATCATCCAGTATTTTCCCCAGAACTTGGTCTCACGGACATCATTACTACTCTGTCCTGTAACCCCATCCTCAGCCACGGAAGGTGTGGAAGGGCTGCTGGCTGCAACACTCAAGCCAGATAGTAGGGCTCCATGCTCAGGGCAACACACCTGCCCCCAGAATCACCTCCTCGCCCCACCCCCCACCCCGTGGCTCCCCCTCACAGCGGTGGGCTGAGAACCCAAAAGCCCCATTCTGTTGGGACTGGGCCGCTACGGGCCCGCGGGATGACGACCAGCGGGGTCCCTTCACGACTGCAGGAGAGAGGGACCCCACACACTGAGTTCTGAGCCTGCTCCGCTCCTTCCTAGCTGTGGCCCCAAACCAGTCACTTCACTCAGCACACGTCCGCTCCCCTCTGTGAAACGACCTCTACCGCCGGCTGGTCAGCGGTGGAGACGCTGGTCTCCACCTGCACCTGGCATGACCTCTGCACACACACACCTGAGTGCTGGTCAGGACTGTCCCCTGGGGGAGTCCATCGAGAAAGGGTATCTGGGTGGGAGGCTAGCTAGGGACCCCGATGTTTATTCGGGGCTGGTCTGCGCTAGTGGGTTCTACAACTATGAAGAAACCGCACAGCAAGGATAACTCGGTCTTAGCAACTCGCCTCATGCGTCTACCAGGGCACCTGGGCAGATCAAGCTCAGGCGGGGTGAGCGCCTGGGGGTGCATGCGTGCACACTTAACCTGTGCACACCTACACGTGCACATACCAAGGGAGCTCAGTGCTCGTGAGGCAGTCCTGAGGGGCACGGGGAGACCCAAGCATGGAAACGGGGGTCTGGACCGGCCCTGCCCAGGGCTTGAGCTTCCGCTCCAGAAAAACCCACGGACGCTGAGTGTCGCTTTAAAATAACAAACATGAGGACTCTGGGAGTCACAGCAAGACGTCAGTGAAGCAATGTGGGTGAAAGGTGGGACCTCAGCAGCACAAGCACCCTGGTGACCTACTGGAAAAGCGCCGTGTGTACACAGATGAGGGTCAGGAGAGGCCGCAGAGAAACGCAGCCAGGGAAGGGACCGAGGGGTGGCGCCCACGAAGCTGTGTGCCGTTCGAAGGGACCCTGCCCCCTGTGCGGGGGAGAGGGGTGCTGGTGCCCCCACGCCCTCTGTCTGCATTCCTTGTTATCCTGGTAATGGAGAGGAGGCCTTGGTCCCACCCTGGCCCACAGCAGCTCCCGGGGCCAAGAGCTGCCTTGGGGTTGCCTCCTCCCTCCCTGTTTCATGCACACCTGGCCCACCTGGCCCACCTGGCCCACCCCACCCACCTGGCCCACCTCGCCCACCTGGCCCACTTGGCCCACCTGGTCCACCTGGACCACCTGCACCACCTGGCCCACCTCACCCACCTGACTCACCTGGACCACCTGCACCACCTGGCCCACCTCACCCACCTGACCCACCCGGCCGCTGGCTGCTCAGAGACTCAGCCGAGCTCTTGCTGTTCCAGCCCAGCCAGAGTGGGCTGCTGCCCACGCCTCAGTTCCTGTCCCAACCCACCCCAGGTAGCTTCGTAGGTCCTCCTAGGCAGGTTCCCACACGGAATACTCTGTCCTGGCTTCTCTCCTCCTGTGTCCAATTCCCAGGAGGGGTGAGAGGGGCACTTTCTAATACATTCTCTGGCCACCTGCCTGTTCCCCAGCACTGCCTAGGAAATAACTCGGGGGTCCCAGAGAAGCAGGAAGGAGGCAGAGAGGCTTTCAGGAGCCTAGGGAACACATCCTGCCACTGCCTGCCCCCAACTTTTCACTCCCCAGCGACCCCTCCGTGCCCAGTGACCCAGCCCCTCTGTCTCCCCCCAGCCTGTCACCTCACCTGTGCAATGGGGTAGGTAAGTAACACTGGACACCGTGGACAGAATCCTGAATTCCAGCCAGCTGATGACCCCGAGTCCCTCTCACATCCCCTCGGCCCCCCGGAGTCAAGGGCCTATTCACTGGCTGAGTGATCTGCTAGGCATTGGTAGGTGCTTGAGGAAATATACATCCTCAGCTCTCTCACGTTTGAATTTGCCAACAAGGTCCTAGCAGGCTATTCATTCCAGGAGAGAATTTGCTCCCAAGCAGACTTTCTGCTATGAAATAAGGCTATTAAAGACTCCTCTGGCCGCAGACTCCCGGCAGGCTCCTGACATGTGGGGGGAGGGGGGAGGGTCTCCTCCTCAGCTGTTATCTCCCACCCCCGCCCCCTCTTCCCTGCTTCACCATCTCCTCCATGGACAGTCAGGTGCCAGAAAAGGCAAGCCGTGCCAGGCTCCAGGTGAGGCAGAATGAGGGGAGTCCCTGGCAGCCACAGTCTCTTCTCCTGCACCTCCAGGACCCCTCCAGCTTCAGCCCTATCTGCATTCTGCACCACCAGAGCCACCTCCTGTTGTCTGACCCTCTATTGGGCAGGCTGCGAGGTCATATTGCTCTGTAAAGTTCACCCACTCACTGATGAAGGAAGCCCCAGCTCCACCCTGAACCCCACACCTCATGCCACAGCCCGACTCCACTTGCTTTTCCCGCTGGAACCCCAAAAGGCCTCCTGTGGAAGAGCCCCGGGCAGGCGGGCCGGTTTGCTGGCATCTCAGGCCCCTTGCAGATCTAAGCATGGGCGTGTGGCAGGAGGGCGCAGAGGAGACTTAGGCACGGGCAACGCATCTCCAGTGCCACAGGTGATAAAGGCAACAAAAGCACTCACAGCCCCCTGGACATCCAGTGCCTGATTCAAGTGTGGGCCTGGGCTTGTGCCCACCCACCCAGCAGGGAGTCCCTACTGGCCAGAGCCAGCAGCTGGTGGGAGGCGAGACAAGGGGAGCTGCAGTGCAGGGGAAGAAAAGGGCCAGGGCCAGGAGCAAGTTCCTGGTGTTGCCCCGATGGGGGGTGTCTGGCCACGGGGTCCTACATCCCTTCCGCCAGCCCCTGCCCCTCCCATCCTGAGGGCCCCCATCCCCAGAGGTGCTGGCCCAGAGGAGCAGCCGCGGGTGGACGGTGAGTGGACGGCGCCCTGCTGGCGGCTGGGGAAGGGCTGTCGGGGTTTCTCCAGTGGCGGCACAGGGCCGCCGAGGCTCAGTTTCCGCCATATACGGAGGCACTGAAAGCGGGGAAATGCGTCTGAGGGTGACTGGTGGGTGGGCCTGGGAACTGGGCACCTTTTAAAAGTCACATTAGTCCCAAACAAGTGACTCAGAAACTTTGGAACACAGCCGTCTGGAGCTGGGGCCTCCCGCACCCTATCTCAGGCTCCCTAGCAGACCTTGAGAGCCACTTCCCCTCCCCCTCCGCTCCCAAAGGCCCATGGGGCAAAGCTTCAATGTCAAGGTCATGGAATGTGAATGCTTTTAGTCTTGATTTACTTATTTTTTTATCTTTTTCTGCTTCTCAGTCTCCTGGGAGTTTTGTTTCCTAGCAGCACAAGCAATCGTGGGTCCAACCTCTGGGCCCCAGTGGGGAGAACCATGGACAGCAAAGACCACTCAAGCGGCCTAGGGACCCTGGCGGAGAGGGAAGGGCCAGAAGGGCCGGTGCAGCAAAGGTCGTGGCCAGTTGGAACCCAGGCCTCACACGCTGCCATGCCCAGCTGTCTGTGGGCCCTGGGCTGTGCTTTTCACCGGTCGCCTCTACTCCGCCCAGACAGCTGCCAGCCAGGCCCACAACCAGCACAGACGCAAACTGAAACCCACCAATCTCATGCCACGTTGAAAGGACAGGTTGTCGCCTTATCGAAACAGGATGTTAGGAGAAAAACATGAAGCTATCTGCACGAGCCCAGACTGGGCTCCTGCAGACCGAGAGGCACAAAGCTTCCATGAGCGAGGACACTGCATGAGCCAGAATGGAAAAGCAGGAAGAACCTTGGCCCAAGAACCAGGAAAAAGTTAAAGCAGCGAAAAACCCGTGTTTACTTCTAACCAAGTTGGAGGCAATGGGACAGTCCGACAGAATTCTTGCATCAACCACCAAAGGCACCGGGGGGCCCCTGGAGGCTTGGCCCCCAGTGCCAGCAGACACGGAGGTGGCAGCATGATGGAGCAGGAAGAGCAGTGAACTGGGCAATGGACGCTATAGCCGTGTGGCTGTGTCCTGGCTGTGTGGCCTTGGGCAGGTCACTTTCCATCTCTGGACTCATGCATAGGATAGGACAATGGTGGAACCCACTGACCCTGGACCCCCGTAGGCCCCCGAGAGTGTTTACCAGCTAACAAACTCAGAAGGCCAGGAACCATCTAGCTGGGGTCTTGGCGCCGCGACAGTCTGTTGACTGGGGTCAAATGCCAACCCCTCAGGTAGAACGTGTCCTCCAGGCCCAGCAGAGCTCAGCACGGAGGCCAGTGCAGCTGTCCCCTGCACCAGTCCTCACATCATCCCACTGCTCAGGCACCCTGGGCTCCGGGTGGCGGAAGAGGGGCTGTGACCGCACATCTCTGCTCCCTCCAGCCCCTCAGCGTCCCCCATCTGGCGGAGGGTCACCGAGTCCGCACAACTGAACCAAAGACAGGCAGAGGCCAGACGCCAAAGGAGCCCTCTCTGCCCAAAGGGCACCGCCGAAACTGCCTGGACACCAGGTCTCGGCAGGCCTCTGCCACCCTCTCGGGCTGGACACAGCAACAGTGGCCCTGAGGTCCAGCCCTGCCATCTTCCAGCCTCAGGGCCAAGCACACACAAATTCCAGTGCAGGGCAAAAGCTGAGGGGCAGGCCCTCCTGCCCAGCCGTGACTCCGAGGCGCCCGGGGCACACTGACGCAGGGCAGAGCAAAGCAAACAACACCGCGGCCTCTTCCGAGGCCGGCGGAAGGGGGAAAGGCAGAACTCACCTCTCTCAGCAACTGTAGGCCGTTGAGCGCGTCCTGCTGCTGCTGAGCCACGGTGACCCCCAGGACGAGTGTGTGGACCACGCAGGACACCACGGAGATGACCACGATGGGGCTGAGGCTGAGGGGCAGCGTGATGAAGTAGGAGAAGACAAAGAAGGCCTGCCAGCCCACCGTGTCGCTGGCCGCGTGGGCCCGGGTGAAGTTCAGGCCCAGGTAGGAAAAGATCTGGGCCGTGATGAGCAGCCAGAGCAGGTAGGGCACCACCTTCCGGGTCACCCGGTCCGGGAGCAGCCCCTTTTTGCAGAGCACGAAGAGGATGATGTCCAACACCAGTCCCACGGCGGCCACCATGAGGGGCGCCAGCTTGTCGCTGGAGAAGACCACCGCGCACATGACCACCACGTAGCAGTCAAAGAGGGCGGCGAAGACCACCAGCACCAGCAGGGTCTCGTGGCGCTGCCTTTTGAAATAGGTCTGGTAGAGGTTCTCGAGGGACTCGGGCACGAAGGTCAGTCGCATGAAGCGTGGCAGGCAGAGGCAGGACCCCGAGTTCCGGACGGAGATCTCGTGGGTGCGGCCCACCCCGCGGTCGGGGTCCGAGGGCAGGCTGACCGAGTACTCAGCCGAGTACTCCGCCGAGTACTCGGGGTCGGAGAAGCCCTGGTTCCGCGGCATCTCGGCGGCTGCCTCTTCCACCGCCGAGGAGAAGTGGCCGGGGGGCGGAGGGACGCTCTGGAGCGGGCGCCTAGCAGGGCTCTCGGGGACCCAGGCAAGGCAGAGCGGCCAGGAACGCCCGGAACGCGGAGCGGGTTTGCTGGGCACCGGCAGCGCCGACCGTCTGCAACTGAACAGGACGCGGCTGAGTGCAGGCGGCTCTTGCTCGGCACCGGCGGGTTCTCCAGGACCCACCCGTCCGTCCCCTCGCAGCAGGCGGCCCCTGAGCCGGGCCTTCTCCCGCCACCCCCGCACTCACACGCGCCCGGCCGCACCACCTCGTCCTTCCACGCCAGACACCCGGTTTCCTGCCTGCAGCTTGCCCGGGGGCCTCCGTGCCCGCACCCCCGTGCCATCTCACCACCCCGACCTCCTCGCCTCGGTCTCCGCCAGGCCCAAGCCCTAAGATAAAACGTGCCGGGAAGAAGGCAGAGCCACCCGAGATTCCTGAAGCTTCCTTCTGTTTACTTCCTTTCCCCACCCAGCCCTCGGCGGCCCCGG